CAAATTCTTCATTCCAATCAAGCACGAGAGGTTCAAAAAAAAAATTCACTATGCCCGGTGGCAATATACACTCATACATACACAGATGTAATAAAGCCTTATGATTTGCAGCAGCATGTGCAAGAGGGGGGCGGGGAGAGGCACTCATTTTTCTTCCTGGTTGTTGGAAGGGGGAGAAACAAAATTCTCTTTTCCAAGGAGCCACCCCTTCCTTCCCCGCCAAGGAGTCTTCGGCGCACTAATATCGTTAAAAAGCCGAGAATGCCAAAAGACGCTCCCCTGCCTGCCCATCTCTGCCGGCATCCCAATGGCATCTTCCGTCGCCGCTTCCCCGCCACCTTCCCGCCCCCCATCTCCAGCCAACACCTGCTGCTTGGCTCATTTCGTGAGATCATGGGGGTCACCGTTACCACCCTCCTGGCCCTCCGGCTTTCTCCGGCATGGTGGCTGTTGCATTGAGAGAGTCTAAAACCACCGACTTTTTTGTTTTTCCGAGGAGGAAGAGGAGGAAGCGGCGATGGCAGCAGCGGCCGGCCCGTCTCCTCCCCCCCCCGCACACACACTCTCCCCCCCCCGCGTGGCAACGGAGGAGGTAATGGATCGCAAATATTTGCCGAGCACCAATCATTTTTCAATCAGATGCATTTTCTCCCTCTGCCCGGGGTCCTCGCTAGTGGTTCCCCAAGGTGCATTTAGAGGTTACAGACACCATGCGAGCGGCTGGTTCATGCATATGTAGGGCAAATTGATGCTGCGCGCTGTGTGTCGGTATGTCGGCTTCGAACTGAATGGCTACGGAGGGCCCCCCCACCCTTCCTCCTCACCTTCTCAATCCCAGTCTCCTCCCGACACTTCGATTTCAAGGGAAGCTTGTGACATTCTAGCCTCGTCAGAAATGGAGGGGCATTTGATTTTTATTTAGATCGCCGTGGCCTGTTGAGGGTTACGGAGGTCTTATAGGTCATATGTGTACAGATGGGTGTGGATGCGTGGGAAAGGGATCCAGGCGCACCTGCGGGAATCAACAGGAAGTGAGGTCTCCGGGTTAGACAACCGTACAATCAGCAATGCCAAGGCACATCACTTCGTAAGCTGGAGGAGGGGAGAAGGGTTGCTTCTGGATTTCGTCCCGCACCCTCTACATTTCTTCCCAAACGGCTGAAGCTGAAATATGAGAACTTGTCTCCGAATTCTAAATTCGAAAAGGTCCGCTTCTTCCGCCACAACGCCCTGCCTTATATTTGCCAGAGAACAGGAGACATCTCCCCCCCGCCCCCCCCGGCACGAATATTCACACAGAGACAGCCACACCTATCCTGCGCAACAATACGTGCCGAAGAAAAATCGCTGCGTAAGAAACGTTCCTGGCACTGATATTTGCCCGCACCCGCTTTGCCAGTGACGGCTGGAAGGCGCATCTCGGAGGTCTTTTAGGTCACCAAGAAAGGGTAGAGCACGAAAACATAGGTCAGCCCTCGTTTAGATCTAGGGAATCTGTTCATCGTTCATAAGGGCCCAAAGATTAAAAAAAACAACAACCAACAAATGCAGTTTTAGTTAGGAAATAAAAAGTCAATCACGAGCTGTTGGGCTCCCTGTCAAATTAAACGTTCCGATTTAAGACTGTCAGAAAGGATAATCAAGGGTATCGCCTTTCGCTTCGGTTAAAACCAGCGGAGGGACCCGAACGCCCAAGGCAACGGGCGGAGGAGGAGGCGTGACACCCTCCTGCTCACCGTGAATGCACCAGGGCCGGTCTTCTTCAGCAGAGACACGTGTGTGTGCGCGCGCGCGTGTGTGTGCATTTCGTTAGCTTAATCGGGAAAAGGCATTCCCGTTTCTCCACCATCGCCTTCTCTTCTCTCCCCCCCCCCAACGAGGGGAATTGGAATGGGATTTAAAGTAGCCGCCTACGTCGCTAGTAATTTACCTGGCCTGGAGGCGGGAGGAGTGAGCCAGCCAGCGAGCGCTCACCTGTTTCGAACACGCGCGCCCGCTTCTTTTTTTCCCCTCCCCTTGCAAACTCCCGGAGAGATCATTTTGTAGTGCGTGTACCTACATCTATGGGGGTGGGGGCGGAGGGGAGAGAGGAAGACTAAAATGTCTGATTTGTGAACTGATAGTCCAGGAGGCCCCCGACAAGAGTGAGGCAAAGTGAGGCCGGATCGCACCGGCATCAGGTTTTATTGCTGTTTTCTTTGTTTCTGCGGTAGATCTTGTTTTATCTCCTGGTAGGGTCCAAAATATCTCCTCCCCCACCCCCCACCCCATGCTGCGAAGAAAGTTTTAAAAGTTCTTTCGTACACACGCATGCGCGCAAGCGCTGCGCGCACACCTATTTCAGCTCTCCATCAAAGGCTCTAGCTAAGCTCAGACTTCTCGAGCATCCTTTCCTCCGCGATCACAACAGTCCAGGGACTCGATGGGAACATCACGAGCATCCCGAAGAGTTTTGCCCTTGTCCAGACTCGCCTCCCAATTCCTTGCAAACACTTCCAGCCAGCCAAGATTTCCGCCTCTTTTAAGTCCACCTGGATGTGGACCATTCACGATTCATACAAAAGTACTTTGCCACGAGACCGCTCGGAGGAAGAAAGGGACGCAGCCGACGGCCAAGGCGAGCGGCCCTCCGCGTCCTTCCTGCATAACAGGAGCGTCGGCAAAAGGCTGCCGTCGCTCTTTACTAGCCAGATGCGCCTTGCTCAGGGCAGTCGAGTTTCCCCGAGCCGAGTCTTCCGCCCTGATTCCCCACACCCGAGCCTGCCCCAGGTCCCTCTGAGATCTTTCCAGACCAGGGGCTGTGAAGGTCTGGCCACCGACTCCTAAGCGCTGAGCCAGCAGGTCTCAGGAGTCAAGAAGGAGAGAATCGAAAGCTCTGGTGGCGTTAGGGAGACACCACGACGCTGGTTAAAATCGAAAAATGATACTTAAACAATATGATCGGAGTTCGCGCTTACTTCGGGCTGGGAACACATAATTTCTCCTACAACTCTTTTCCCACCAAATTGTCTTCTGTCCTTCCCCCTTTCCCCTAAACTAGACACCGTTGGGGTGGGCGCCCCTGATTTTCTTGTTTTAAAAAATAATAATTTAGTATCATTTCCCCGCTTTTACCGAGTGAGGAAAATCGGACTCAGTTTAAAAATCCCCGGGATAGCTGGACCACCAATCGTTGGGGAGTGAAGGCTGCTTTTGTAACTCTTTTGTCAGCTGCCGAAGAGAGCCTTTCAAATCACTTCCTAATTGTTTGGACTATTGATGGAGCGAGATGGCTCGGCCAATAACTCCCCGCTAGCCGTAGGCATTTCGAGCTGCCTTTGCGCGAACGG